TGAATAGCCAATGCAGGAAAGAGAAAGAGAGAAGTGATAACAGCATATAAAAAAACCAAATCAGATACTATTCTTGAGATTTGGAGAAATTCGAAGTCGATGACTTAGGAGATGAAAAGAGAAAGAGAAACAAAGGAGATAGATATGTTAGGATCCAAAGAACAATTCTATCTCAATGATGTAACACATAGCAAAATACTGATAAATTTGAAAAGGAAAGGAAAAAAATCAAAATAACACATTGCAAAAAGTTAAACAAACCATATAATGGCCAAGGTAGCAAGCAGCAAATCAAACATGCAAAAAGTTAAACAAATCAAATAATGGCTGAGGTAGCAAGCTGCAAATGCTGTTTAATATCCATTAAACAGAAAAATGAGAAGACATTGTTAGAACAATCATGACCAAGAACCAACAAAGAGGTTCTTTTTGGAAACCAAATCAAACGAGGATGGGATCATTAAACAGTCTTTCACCTGGTTTTTTTTGCATGCTCTTGCTTCCCTAGGAACAAAAAGTAAGGTATTAAGCATGCATTCTAACAGTCCAAAACATAATCAACTAGCAACCAAAAGGCCTAAAGGTATTTAGCCTTTGCATAGGCAGATTTTCCAGTAACTCAGAATACATTCAAACCAACTCACACACTTTTGACTTTCCTGTACACCAATTAGATAGACTCAATGGAGCACGCAAACAAACAGAATAATGTAAGAGATTAATGAAAGGCCAGAAAAGAGCTCATATAATAACATCAAATGCAAACAAAAAGTGGTCAAGTATGATGAAGCCGATGACCTCCAATAGAAAAAGAGAAAGATAAAAAAAGGAGATAGCCATGTTATGATGAATGATGATATAATACAAAACATTACAAGACAATGATAAATTTGAAAGAAAAAAAAAAAAGATTCAAGTTCTGGTACGTGCGGTCTTAATCAAGAAAATATATGAAACGAATCAAAATGAAACAGTCAAAGCAGGAAAGAGAGAGAGAGAGAGAGAGAGAGAGAGAGAGAGAGAAGTGATAAAAGTATATAAAAGAAACCCAATCAGATACTATTCTTGAGATTTGGAGAAATTCGAAGTCGATGACATAGGAGATGAAAAGAGAAAGAGAACAAAGGAGATAGATACATTAGGATCCAATGACCAATTCTATCTCAATGATACAATACATAGCAAAATAATGATAACTTTGAAAAGGAAAGAAAAAAATCAAAATAACACATTGCAAAAAGTTAAACAGACCATATAATGGCTGAGGTAGCAAGCTGCAAATTAAACATGCAAAAAGCTAAACAAACCATATAATGGCTGAGGTAACAAGCTGCAAATGCTGTTAAATATCCATTAAAAAGCCAAATGAGAGGAAATTGTTAGAACAATCATACCAAGAACCAACAAAGAGGTTCTTTTTAGAAACCAAATCTTCCAGCAAAAAAGGATCATTATACAGTCTCTCACCTGGGTTTTTTTGCATGTTCTTGCTTTCCTAGGAACAAAAAGTGAGGTATTAAGCGTGCATTCTAACAGTCCAAAACATAATCAACTAGTACCAAAAGGCCTAAAGGTAGCCTTTGCATAGGCAAATTTTCCAATAACTCATAATACATTCAAATCAACTCACACACTTCTGAGTTTCCTATACTCCTATTAGACAGAGTCAATGAAGCATGCAAACACACAGCATAATGTAAGCAATCAATGAAAGGCGAGAAAAGAACCCATATAATAACATAAAATTGAAACAAAAAGCGGTCAAATATGACAAAGTTGATGACCTACAATAGAAAAAGAGAAGGGTAAAAAAGGAGATAGATATGTTTTGACAAAGGATGATATAAACAAAACAAAACAAGACAATGATAAATTAGAAAATAAAAAAAAAGATTCAAGATCTGGTATGTACGGTTTTAATCAAGAAAATATATGAAACGAATCAAAATGAAATAGCCAAAGCAGTAAAGACAAAGAGAGAAGTGATAACAGCATATAAAGGAACCAAATCAGATACTATTCTTGAGATTTGGATAAATTCGAAGTCGATGATGTAGGAGATTAAAAGACAAAAAAAAACAAAGGAGATAGATACATTAGGATCCAATGAACAATTCTATCTCAATGATACAATACATAGCAAAATAATGATAAATTTGAAAAGGAAAGAAAAAAAATCAGAAAAAAACATTGAAAAAGTTAAACAAACCATATAATGGCTGAGGTAACAAGCTGCAAAATGCCATTTAATAACAACTAAATAGCCAAATGAGAAGCAATTGTTAGAACAATCATGACCAAGAACCAACAAAGAGGTTCCTTTTAGAAACCAAATTATCCAGCAAGTGAGGATCATTAAACAGTCTTTCACCTAGCTTTTTTTGCATGCTCTTGCTTTCCTAGGAACAAAACGTGAGGTATTAAGCATGCATTCTAACAGTCCAAAATATAATCAACTAGCAACCAAAAGGCCTAAAGGTATTTAAACAGTCTTTCACCTAGCTTTTTTTGCATGCTCTTGCTTTCCTAGGAACAAAACGTGAGGTATTAAGCACGCATTCTTACAATCCAAAATATAATCAACTAGCAACCAAAAGGCCTAAAGGTATTTAGCCTTTGCATAAGCAAATTTTCCAGTAACTCAAAATACATTCAAATCAACTCACACACTTTTGAGTTTCCAATACTCCTATAGATAGACTCAATGGAGCACGCAAAAACACAGGATAATGTAAGCGATCAATGAAAGGCAAGAAAAGAACTCATATAATAACATCAAATGCAAACAAAAAGCGGTAAAACATGACGAAGTTGATGACCTACAATAAAAAAAAAAGAGAAGGGTAAAAAAGGAGATAGATATGTTATGACAAATGATGATATAATAAAAAACAAAACAAGACAATGATAAATTTGAAAAGACAAGAAAAAGATTCAAGATCTGGTACGTACGGTCTTAATCAAGAAAATATATGAAACGAATCAAAATGAAATAGCCAATGCAGGAAAGACAACGAGAGAAGTGATAACAGCATATAAAAGAACCAAATCAAATACTATTCTTGAGATTTGGATAAATTCGAAGTCGATGACGCAGGAGATGAAAAGAGAAAGAGAACAAAGGAGATACATACCTTGGAGGTCATAAGGAGAAGCCAACCCTTCTAAACATCATCGCGCTTTAATTTCTCTGGTAACCCATAACTTATGGTAAAATCAAAACTTTTCTTGAATCTTTTTCCACTCAGGCAACTGAAACTCGAGACAAAGAAAATAATCGAGCAAGATCAGAACCCACAAGACCTACTCCTTTAAAGAACTGGATCTTTGGCTTAAGATTCTTACCAATGTCTGAAAGTAGGATTCAGAGAATCTGCGCTTCTGAAAGAACAGATCGAGGATAACCAGGCTCGAGAAGAGAACATAGGCAGGCTGTGTGTCCGTGCAAGAAGAGAGAACAAGAAACCTCTACAGAGGCTGTGTCCGTTCAAGAAGAGAGAACAAGAAAGAGAAGGGAGCGCTTTAAAGAAGAAACAGTGGTTGAAGAGATATATATATATATATATACACGTACACGTGTGCATTTATGTAAAACCTTTTCGCCGCCTCTGGAAAGAAAAACAAGGGCGCTTTTTGATAGGTCCCGATCAGAAGCCAAAAGAAAATTAATAAAGAAATTCTCTTCGGGTGAGAATAAACCACAAAATTTTAGATTCAATAATTGTCTGCTTTCCTTGCTGCTTGGGAATGGTTTAAATATATAAAAATACAACCGCAAACTCCTACTTTTAAGCAACTAAAGATAATGGAGGAAATGGGATAGTGCAGCAACTGCCTGTTGACCGATTCCGCCGCAATAGCTATTTTATCCCCACGTTCTGTGACAGAAATATGTAGCTTAACACTTTTATTAGTTTTTTTCTCTCTCATCATCATCACATTGCCACAAAATCCAAAGTGTTGCCATTTCTTTTTTTTTTTTTAATTTCAAAAGAAAAGAAAAAGAAAAAGAAAAAAAAAAACAGATGGAAAAATATAATGAAGATGAAACAAACTTGTGAAGTTTAATCGACAGCTTACCTGCACTTTGCTGAGGATTAATTCCAACCCCATCTGCATGAAGAGTCCATGACAATTTAGAAAAAAAAGAACTTAGGTGATAATAATCAATATATATGCACACGCACGCGACTCTATGTGTATGAATGAATATTCCCTTACTCAATAAGAACAACAAAGATAGACAACTCAAAAGACAACATAGTTGGCACATGCTTCTTACAGCAATTGACTGAATACTGCAAAACCTGGTGTCTTAAGGAAGAAAGTTGACTGAGTACGAGAAATACAGCTGCATATATCTTGCTCCTTAATAACTAACAGTGCATTCAAATATTGAGGCGGACCTAAATACAGTTCAAAGTTGTCTCAAGCTTTCCGACTCAGAGGCTAACTAGAGAACCTACTATAGATGTTCTTTGTATTGGATTCAACCACAATATCTTGCCTGATTATTAAGAAACCAGACCCCGATTCTCTTGAAAAACCCGCTAACTAGAACACCCTATACTTTTCATGGCCGGAGTTTTACCAATCTTCAAAGACAATTCATGAACTCCACAATTAGGTTAAATTCTCTAACTTACCATTAACTATTTATTTCCACACTGATTGCCGAAACTAACATTCCACAACTCCATTTCAATTAAAAAAAAAAATCATTACATGAGGAACCAAGTAATAAATATGGAGGCCAATAAGCTATTCAATTTCAATAAAACAAGCGTATATGCCCCCTCACCGTTCTCAATTATAGTCGGGATAAATATTTGTAAGACACAGATGACTGAAGCAACTATAAATCATAATTTTACACGACCAAAAAATATCGATGTTTATAAGAACGATTACCATGACACACCAACTAGTTGAACGTTAAACTAGACAGTGTGCAGATTTATATGGCGCCGAAGAAACAACAAATTTCCTGGCAGCATGCAGGGTGCAGAGACATCCAAAAGTGAAACGGAGCTTCAAAATTTACATACAGTTTGGGTAGATTTATATATATGTAATGTAAACTAGATATGAAAATGGGAAAACAAAATAAAAAAACCCAAATAAATATAAGATAGAAGGAGAAGGGCATCGAAATTACTGTTGGTGATGATGGCGCTGGTTTGGGGAGGGACCTTGGAGCAAAAGGCCCGGGGCTAGGGTGAACTGCGGGGGGAGGACAGCGTGAGTGAGCGAATGTGTGTAAGCCCAGTCAAGAATGACTGTTCTAGGAGGGCGGGCCACCCACCTTCGAATGGTCTTGGTCCATCGGACCGCGAACGGATTTCGCCTCTGGCCTCTGGGCATGTCGGAACCGCATGAGTTCACCGGGGTGGAGCACGGTCCGCCAAAATCGGCATAGATTAGGTGCTATTGATGGAACATGGTAACCTTCCGATTGATCCCTACTTATCCATCCCCTCCCTATTTCTGCCTCTTTAGTTGGAACGACTGCCTACCCTTGGCCGGTGAAAGCTATGCACTGATTCCCTCTTCTCGTGTTGGGAATTTCTCGGCCGTGAATTTAAGAACAGCGGTGAATGGAGCTGCCTCTGGCACGCTAAATCTTCAATTTGGCGCTTGAAGGCAAAAGGAAGTGAATCTCAACGAAAATTGATAGAGAAACAGGAGGGGTAGATTGGGAGATGATGGTTTATAATGGTATACTGACACTTTGAAAGGGAGCTTTGGATCTGAAGTGAGAGTAACTTTGAAGGAGACCTTTCCACCAGTCGCAATCTTTGTAATTCTAGGGTTGTAAAATTCGACCGGTCCTTTCTCCTTCCAACAAAGAAAAAGGAACCTGGGGGATCAGTTATACATACAGCGGAGGAGACGGCAGTATATCAGTTGTCGCGTACTTATGACGCTGATTTTTTTTTTTTTTGTTTTATCAAAAAAGAATTTTCAGTCATTTATTACTGGGCTTGTCACTGGAAGAAGGAGAGCCAGCTTTCGATAGTCTTAGGCCCATATAATCGGGCTAGGCCGATCCTATACTTTTTAAGGCCTGTGTTCAATATGTAACTTAGAAGTTAGATGTATGAATATGGATGGAACTTACACATTCTCCCAAAATCCAAAGTGTTTCCATTTTTTTTTTTTTTAATTTTCTGAGTCGTTATTTAATCTATTTTAATTATTTCTATATAATAAAATTTATATTTTTATTTAATAAAAATTTGTACTAAAATTAAAATTATACAATTAATGAAAAATATTAATAAATTCGTAATATATGTGTAACACAAGATAAAAAATTAGTTTGCATAATTTGGAGACAACTAAATTTATTGTTAATATAGAATAACTAACATTAAATAATTTTAATAGAATAATTAATTTCTTATTGATAATATTTATCACGTTATAGTCGATAAATAACCTCTGACAAGTCCTTAGATTAAAAAATAAAAAATAAAAATTGAAAACTTGGTTTTCAAAATCCCTTAATAATTAAGCAGGTAATTTTTTTTTTTTTGTAAGCCAGAAAATAAAATATTATAAACAATGTAAAGGGACACTAGATGCATACAAAGAGGAAATCTTCAAGTTAGTCAAAACAATAGGCCAGACCAAATATTAACTAATTGGATAGAAATTTACTCTTAACACTTATTGAAAAGAGCATTTAGATACCACCCACCAAAAAATTCATGTACTAAAATCAATTGCTACAATTTGAGGGCCTCAAAACTTATTCTCGAAAAAATTTCAGTGGCAATAAGGCCAGAAGCAACATAATTTTGGTACATGATTTTGCCCACTAGGAATAATATTACATACTTATTCACTAATGCAACAAAAATACAACTCTTGAGTTATATTAGAAAAACACATACAAATCTTGTTTATTTTAAGAAAAAATACAAAGGTTTTCAATGTTCATTTGTAATTCATAAAGACAGCATAAATTCCTAAATAACGACAACCATTAAAGAGAGCTTGTTAATTGAATTCACAGAGTGCTCTAATTAAGATAAAACATAGCAATAACCTTTTCATTGAAGTAAGAGTATCGTCCATCATGTTTCTGCAAATAAAAATATTCTTACTTTTAAATTAGGAGAAGAGACAGACATTTACAATGAGGGAATTGGTTGTTATAGATGGACAATATTAACACAATCACCAGAACAAAAGTAGAATTGATCATTTTTAAAACTTGCTCCAAATCTTCACAATAGCAATGCTTTAGAGGTACAAGCAAACAATCAAATATAGTACATTGCTTTTACAACTTGATTACGAAAAAGAATAAAGAACTACAATATATTTTACCTTTCCAACTAATATTATGATGACGCTAGACGTGTTACTAGTTCAATCACAAATCTTGATGAGAAACTATATTTTACCCACTTGTTTGCTTGAGTTAAAATGCATAATTGATGCAAATTGATCACGACATAAAGATAGGAGAAAAGAAAAGTAAGAATTTATATGCAAAAAGGTCGAATACATGAATCACCACCTCTGATCTTGCCAATTTTCACAACAAATATTTCTTCTCATCTCACAATGTTTCCTCACCTCTCATTCTCATTCCTTCAATTCACCACACAAGAATCTTCAATCCCCATATACTACCAAAAAAAAACACAAGTAATCTGTGTATGCAATACCAATATATTAGCTTTATTTAGAGCCGAATGATCATACCCGCACTAACACACTATGTTTCATTTTAATTAAATCGTTATAGACACTTATAAAACAGTAACAAAAACATAGACATAAGAAAGTCCTAACCTAATCAGCAAGTTCAACTTCATTCTTCAAAATCAAGTCATCCTCTATCATTTTTAAATCATATATCAAACATATTTAGTGAATACACAAGCACTTAATAGCTACATTTTCAATATGTTGTAATACACGATTATATACCACCCTCAAAAACTACAAATAGGATAATTTAAAGCACAATTTACCTAAAACATGGTACATCTGGATTGCGGTACCAGTATAGGTACAAAATACAGTATAAAAATTTCAAGAAAAATTTTGATGATATAGGAGAGAAAAAGAAAAAGAAAAATAGGCTGTTCAAACACTACATTTCTCTTCAACGTCATCAGTAGAAGAGAACATCAGCATGTATGCGGTGCATAGTCAAGCATCTTTAAAAGGGTCAATCTATTTCTACTAGTACATCTGGATTGTGGTACCAGTATAGGTACAAAATACAGTATAAAAATTTGAAGAAAAATTTTGATTATATAGAAGAGAAAAAGAGAAAGAAAAATAGGTTGTTGGAACACTTGCATTTCTCTTCAAGGTCATCAGTAGAAGAGAACATCACTATGTATGAGGTGCATAGTCAAGCATCCTTCAAAAAGGTCAATCTATTTCTACCGGTACATCTAGATTGTGGTACCAATATAGGTACAAAATACAGTATAAAAATTTGAAGAAAAATTTTGATGATATAGGAGAGAAAAAGAGAAAGAAAAATAGGTTGTTGGAACACTTGCATTTCTCTTCAAGGTCATCAGTAAAAGAGAACATCATCATGCAAGCGGTGCATAGTCAAGCATCCTTAAAAGGGCCAATCTACTTCTACTTATGACACCATAAAACACAAGAAAGAAGATTCGTAAGTACAAAAACTGGCCAAACAAACAGGAAATCTTGGACATTAACTGAGCCAGACTAGAACTCACAAGGAATCTTTGGTTTAAGCTTTTTGACAAGCAAATCTGACAGTACTATCTACAACATTGCATGCTCTCATCCACAATAAAAACAAATTCGCTATTTCATTGTAGTCACCTTTTATATGGTATTTTATGAGATTATGACGATGGCTGTGCAGGCATGATAAAAAAGGAGATTCTATAACATTCTAACTTAAAGAAAACT